ATGCTAAAAGGAATTATTAATCTTTATACATGCACAATAATCATGAATTTAGGATGACTTTAGTGAAACTCAAACAAATCATTTTAAAATCACCATAAGTACACATATGAATATGCAGTTAACACTGACAAAAGTTGTGAGGACGATTTTGCCTTGAGGATTTTATATCCTCCGTGGTTTAAATTTAATAGTTTTAATTTTATTTTTTAATTTTTTAAAAATGATTTTTAAATAGAAATTTAATAATTATATAAATAACAATTGAAATTTTTTTCTTATATGTAGATTTTGTTGAGTATTTTTATTTCATAAAAAAAATTTAATTACTATCATTTATATAATTTGTTAAAATTTTCTCTAAAAAATTAAAAAAATCACATTAAAACAACTAAATTTAAACAAAGAGAGTATTCCAGAGGGTGTATAAGCTTCCGCTGCACAAAGAAAAGCTGAATGACTGTATGAGCTATACATAATTTTTATGTACATATTAAATTTGGACTTGTTTTTGTAATCGGTGAAGTACAAGGGTGTCGTAACTTGTAAGCTCTGGGTGGACTTGAATGGTTCTGGAGAGTTGATATATTTATTGGAGTCATTACCAATCTTTTATTAAGATTTGATTAGTAACTTAAACTATAGTTTATTTGAAAACAATAGTAGGGTGAGCAAGAAAGGATAAGTTTTTTAATTAATTAAATTAATCAAAAATATTTATCTCCCTAGTCCTCTCTCCCCAATCTACACATACCCCAAGTTTGTTTTAACTTGGAAGTAAACATCATTTCTCTTCGGAAAATGCAGAACTTTGGGAGATAATTGCACCACATAATTTCTCTTTCTTTTTTGGATTATCAGTGTTCTTGGGCCAGTTTTTGCTCATGGAAGACTAATTACTCCATAAATAATTTTAAAGGTACATCCTTATATCAACCTATATACTTAAAAAATTAATTTTTTTGGGTATTTATTCTAAGACTTACAGCCGGCACCAAGAGATCCGAGATACAATTGACAAAGTCAAGCAGAAATACTAAATGCTGAGAAAAAACAAACCATATTTATGCAAGAAAATGTATAAGATTATGGATTTTTTTTTTTTTTTCCCTTTTGGGTACATATGGCGGTTACATGGAAACTCAGTACTGAAGAGACTAGAGGCATGTGGCCTAGACACACCAATCATGTCTCCATGCAAACAGTGAGGCACCTCCGCTGTGGGCTATATGCAAACTCTTGTGCAAATGATAGAAGTTAGAGGTCATAAAATCTGCACATATGTTGATATCTGCATTAAAAACCAACAAGTTGCGAAGCATCAGAAATTGAAATCATATCATGCATTTTCAAGTTGGTAGATCAAACGAAATATCGAATTACCTGCAGCTAAATTTGACGTACTATTTCAGCTCACTATAAAAGTATTGACATTGACACGTTTGAAGATTGACATTTTCGGTAGAGCTTGCTGAAAATCAAACTGTGATGTCTGGGATATTGGCATGTAGAAGAAGATCATTGATGAAGGGATATCGTCACCTTTAGTATAATGCATCTGGCATTGGTGAAGAACATGATCATAGG